TGTCTGATCAGATTGTCAATTTGGCTTTTGTACTGGTCTTTGATTGCTTTCATCATTGCCTTCATTGATGCTTCAAGCAGTTTGATTGCATTTTCAGCCTGCATAATGGGAGCTTTTGTAAGATACCATGGTGGTAATGTGTGTATGGTGTATGGTTAGTTACCATGGTGGTAATACATGGTATTGGCGATTATTATCACTATTCTGCATTTTTATAACATGAAACTATATCTTACCACACCTTACCATATGGTAACAAAGTAAAACAGAACAAGAATTATGGTTTCCTCCATTTTTATAACATGAAACCATTGCTTACTACACATTACCATATGGTAACGTATTAAAACACAACAGGACTTATGTTTTCCTCCATTTTTATAACATGAAACCATAGCTTACCACACCTTACCATATGGTAACAAACTAAAACACAGAAGGACTTGTTGTTTTTTGCTATTTTTAAAACATGAAAGCATAGCTTACCACACATTACCATATGGTAACAAAGTAAAACAGAACAAGAATTATGGTTTCCTCCATTTTTATAACATGAAACCATTTGCTTACGACACATTACCATATGGTAACGAAGTAAACCACAACAGGGGCTTATGTTTTGCTCCATTTTTATAACATGAAACCATAGCTTACCACACCTTACCATATGGTAACAAACTAAAACACAAAAGGACTTACGCTTAGTATGAATTGGACAACTGTAATATAGATAATTTGTACTTACTTGGTTGACTGTTCTGATATTCTTCAAATCAAAGTTCAGTGATGATGACTGGTCTGGACTTTTGTTTCTTTGTCTTTTTGGTGATTCATAGACTGGCTCATTCTCCTCTTACCACACATTACCATATGGTAACAAACTAAAACACAGCAGCACTTATGATTTTTTTGCTTTTTTACAACATGAAACCATAGCTTACCACACATTACCATATGGTAACAAACTAAAACACAGCAGGACTTATGGTTTTTTGCTTTTTTACAACATGAAACCATAGCTTACCACACATTACCATATGGTAACAAACTAAAACAGAGCAGGACTTATGGTTTTTTTGCTATTTTACAACATGAAACCATAGGTTACCACACATTACCATATGGTAACAAACTAAAACACAGAAGAACTTATGGTTTTTTGCTATTTTACAACATGAAACCATAGCTTACCACACATTACCATATGGTAACAAACTAAAACACAGAAGGAGTTACGGTTTCTTGCCTTTTTATAACGTGCAATCATAGTTTACCACGCCATACCATGTGGTAACGAAGCAAAACACAACAGATTCTACACCAGTTCAGCAATGCATGCTAACGATTCGGTAATGTAGCAAGTTTTACTACAATTTTCACATGAAAAGTGACTGAAATACTGTTTCTATTGTTCTATGGATGGATTTCGAAGAAAGAAGTGAGGTTTTACCTTGATATTTTGTGCGAAAACGATTTTTGAGACTCGTTGAAGTTGGAAACCCTTCGTTTTTCGACGAAGAAGCGAGAACAGTGTATCGTTGAATGATTCTTCGAAAAGCTTTGCGAAAATCGTTCGATTTGAAGTTTTTTCTGGAAGTTTTTGCTGCGATTTTGGTGAGAGAATTGAGGAACGGGAGGAAGAATGGAGAGAAGGCGGGACGGTTGTCGCGGTCACGTATGCAATTCAAATTGTCAGAAGGAGAGAAGGCGTGATTACCTTTTTGCCCCCGCGTGTATTTAATTGCCATGATCTGACGGCTGGGAAGATGGCGCGATGGACGGTCAGATGGACGGTTACTGACGGTTACTGATAGGTCGGTTACTGATAGGATCCGGACCCGTTTTGCACTGCACCGGACCAACCATCCCTTACTAGTTATGAATATTCTCGATGGTTTTTCATAAGCTAAAATATATGAAGGATTTCGGATGACTTTATTAAATTAACTTTAAATATGATAGTTAGTGAAAAGTGGGAGGCTAAAAATTAAAATAGACATCAAAACCAAATACGCACCTAATCAATTAATGTGAAAATTGTTTAGTTTATAAAACACTATAATCAAGAGAGTGGAGAATAATCGATTAATTAAAAGTGAACACATTTAGTAATTTTTATCTGTATTTTTTTGCTTTTGTGTGAAATAAAATACAAAATCATATTTAATTGTCATATTCCACCCCTAGTCGGTGAAATATGAAATCACAGCTCACTGACACATAAGTTGAATACCAAATCCGAAAAGAAGAAATCTCCATGTTGAGTAATTAAGATCGATATACAAAATTGTATCTCCACGAACAACACAATTGTAAATCACTATAGTCTAGTTACGAAAACAAATACGTTAGCGACGGTCTCAACTCCATGCTTGCAAAAATGAATTTTTGCGGGTAACCCGCACCAACCCGCAGTGGTTACTGGTTACCCACTAACCACAACGGTGCGAGTTGTGGGTAGCATAATTGTAAATTTGTAGGTGTGGATACCCGTAAAATATGGAGCGGGTAACCACACCCACCCCAATTTCCACAACTAAACCAATATATTCTAATTATATTTCGTTCCAAACCACAGTGCCTGCAAAAGAGGGTTGTTATTTGCCGCCCTAAGATTTACTATTTGACGCCCATAATTATACGTAAAATTACGATTTTACCCTTTTTCATTTTTAACCTATATTGCGTCACTTACGGCTGGAAACCTCCCTCTCCTCCATCTCGAAGTCGTCGGCCAGTCTGCTTCGCCTCCCGTCGGCGGGTCTGCCTCCCCTCCCGCCGCCAGCTGTTGAAGAGGTGACCGCTGCTGTTGCTGTCACCACCACCGTGAGAAAGAAATCGTCGCCGCTCGAGGAAGGAGCTCGCCGTCAAGACCAAGTTTTTTTTTCTTTAACCCCCGCCTCCGCTCGTTGGACGGGGTCCAGTCGCCTCCGTCGGACGCGCTCCGCCAGCCTGCGTCGGACGCGTTCCCGTAATTCTCTTTCTCAAGGTGGTGGCGACAGCAAAAATCGTTTCTAACTACAAACTAAGCAAGAGTAATTATCGGGAAAAAAAACTAATAATTATGGGGTTAGAATTAGTCTGCATGCCGTGTAATTTAGCCAATAATTAGTCTTTTTATTTTATTAACTCCTAACATTCCGCCATTTATTTAGCTTTATACTTCCTAAATCAATATAAACTCCTTCCATTAACAATTTACCGAATTATTAGTATTTTTTACTTTATAATTATTCAACATAACAAACTGCTTTATTCTCGCCCCGAATTACGAGCCGCAAATAATGATGGTGGGATTACGGGGGAGAGATAAGCGGAATATCATAAAAAGTGTGTTAATAATTAATTATTTTAAGCATTAATCTCGCCGGTTATTAATTAAGGAAATAGATTGAATATTAATAAATAATCAGACGTGGGTAGTTGGGAAGGATTGAAGGAATCCATAACAGAGCACAACATGGCCCGCTTAATTAGCACTAAACTCTATAATTTTTAGTAACTAATAATTTTTACCAAATATTCTCCCGTGAGTGAGATGGATTAGGGGGGTTATTGATATTATTATATTAATATTATCATTTAATTAGGAAAGAGGTTGGTAGTGATAAATCACTAAATTAGATAAAACTAGTGATTAACTATATTATAATCATATTAATTTATTGTATGACCAGATTACGGTTTAACAAGATTAGGGTGTGATCTTGACCAATTAGTTAAATTTTTAAGTAATTATAATTTACACAAAATGTTGTATAATATTATGGATATTTAATTATAAATTATCTTAAATATTGTACAAGGCTACAAGCTTATGCATAATGTATTTTAATTGTGTAGAAGACGTGAAATAATGAATGAAATTAATAGGTGAAATTAATAGGAATGAAATTAATAATTCAAAATTTTAAATCCTAATTATAGTATTTTAAAAGTAATAGGAATTACATATTAAAATGGCCATGTAATCATATTGATAATTTACCTACAAGTGTGGATATGTCATGTAATCAAACTAAAATGGCCGCGTTTTGCATTTGTCAATTTTCGCATTTATTAGAGTCATCGACTTAAAAATTATTGAAAACCTCGTTGATCCTCTAAAATGTGGATGCGAACATGGTGGAACTGACCATTTCTCGATTGAGGGTCCCAAACAAAAAAAGATGAATAGTGCCAAAATTTCCATCGAGATTTTTGGGGGCTCTGTGAATCATAAAAAAAGTATTTCTTGAGCCCAACATGCGTATTTCAATGATGCAAACAAATGTTGTTAGTGGAAGTCGAAATGATTTTACCTCTAAGACAATGTCGTAGTAGGATTGGATGGATTGAAGTTGAAGTTAACTATTTGGTGGGATTTAGGGTTTAGGGTTAGAGAGAGGTAGAATGTGTAGACGGGGAAGATGTGCTTTCATCTTTTGTTACTTTCATCGTTATTATTTAATCTAGCTAATTCCATGTTTAAAATCCAGTCTCACCAGATTTATTCACTCAACTATTTTTACTTAAAAAAAATAAAAAAGAAATAATTTAAGTGATTAAATTACACTCAACTACTACTATTAAAATATGTAATTAATTATTAAATTTTGTTTTCCTAATTCTGTTGGTAGCAATCAAAAAGGAAAAAAATTAATAATAAAAAATATTGCTTATTATGAGCGTGATAATTAAGGGAAGAAATGGTTGCTTTCCTTTTTCTATAAATTAAGTGTCTCCATTTTTAATTATATAAATATAATTACTCATGGTAATGGGGCAGGAATCGCGTGCTTACTCCACATTTATCTAGATTTGGTAATCCGTTAATTAATTCAATTATATAAGTTTATTTTATTAGTTCATTGTTTCCGCCCAAAAATTAGAAAACTTATCATGATTAGAACTTCCAAAATCAATGCATACATAAATAGCAATTATCACACATCATAATTTAATATAATATTTAATTAACTTATATATAATTAATAATTGATTTTCTAGGTAATTAAAAAGTTGATTTTCTGGAAAAATGGTCGCTGGCGGCAACCGTCCGAAGGTCGCCGTCGGACGATGCCTCACCGTCTGTTTTCCTTCTTCGTAACCTACCTCGCCGTCGCGGTCGCCGGTTCTGGACTGAGCCTCACCTTCCAATCGCCGGCAGATAAAAGAATCCGATCGGTTTTTTGTGAAAGAAAACAGTCGGTGATGACCCAGACAACGACAAGGCGACGGGAACCTGTTGGCGGCCGGCGATTTCAGTTTTGGCGCCAGCAGCTAGAACCTCCGGCAATTTTAAAATGAAAAAGGGGCAAATCCGTCATATCTTTTGGTAATTACGGACGGCAAATAGTAAACATACGGACGGTAAATAGCGATTCATCTGCAAAACTTGCAATATAGATTGATTTGACAGCCTTCCTCAACACTAATAATCCATAAACTTGCATTAGGAAGGACTGTTTTCTGCTGGGCCTTCCATTGTGGCGGCCCATGTTTTTCATTACCAGATCTGCTCATGGAACATCTTCTCCATTCTTCTCCCTCCCTCCAGGGTGGCTCCAGCGCTTTCCAGTTCTCCAACTGACACGTTGCATAGCAGCAAGACACCACCTGCACCTACGTGTCCCTTCCCGAATCATCTCTTCCCTTCTTCTTCTCCTTCTCCTTCTCATCCCGTCGCCCTGTTTTTCAGGCTCTCGGAAAGGACGAAGAAAACAAACCTCCTTCTTATTAACACTTTTACAAAAGATTTTACGCAGCAAAGCAGCCAAATGCAGCAATCCCGATTCCTCGTCGTGGGTCGCCGACTATTGCTCAGAGCTCCTCCGTCTTCCCCTGCGAGAGGATTTTCCTCCGGTGGCCGCACCGCCGACCCAGATGTTTTCTCAAAACAGAGGGACCGCGAGGTTCAGCCCGCAGTTCCCTCCGGACAGCCGGAGGTAATTAATTAGTACGATTAATCGCTAGTGTTTACAGTTAATTGAACAAAAGGGCTTTTTAATTGACGAGCCGGACTTCGCAGGAAACGAGAGACCACGTGGAACCCGACAACGCGAAAAGGGAGGAGAAGGAGCCGGAGCACCGGCCCACGTCGGAGACCGACCCGCTGTCCCCGCCGAGGCCACCTCACGCATCCTACTCCAGGCTGGAAAGCGTTGGGGTCCACAACCCGGCAGAACCACACGCCCAGCAAAAGCGGAGCAAGTACAGGTACATGTCATCATCAGCCGCCACCTCAGCAGCGGATCGAAGCCTGCTGGACGGCGTGACCTGCACCGGGATATCGCCCTGGCCGGATGAGGAGGAGGAGAAGGGGAAAGGTCAGAGCAAGGCGGAGGCGGCAGAAGACGACAGGGAGTACTTTGAGCACCACAAGGCTTCCCCTCTCTCGGAGATCGAGTTCGCCGACACGCGGAAGCCGATCACGAGGGAGACCGACGACACCGCGGACGCGGAGAGCCGCGGTGCCGACGTGGTTGGGTGGGGCCCGGAGCAGAGCGAGACGGCGGAGGAGACGATGATGAGGGCGAGTTGGAATTGGCGGGAGAGGGCGGCGAGTGGGGATCCGGATACCCCGCAAGGCCGCGTCTTGAGAGCTCTCCGTCGAGAGTGGTTTTGATCTTCTGTAATGTAACACATCTGATTTCTGGCCGTCTCTTTAAGCTGCTTTATAATGTTTTGACAGCCCGATTCTGTTGTTATGTGTGGTCACTGGTTCAGCTGTATATAATCTTTCCCATGGGAAACAAAATGGTCTGCCCTTTCTGTACTTGATCAAAATTCAATAGGGTCTGCCACAGCCGAACAATCACCATGCCAGCAGCAAGCAGTTGGGCGATCGTTTTCCAGGTTGGTGAATCGAAGACAGGAAGAAGCTGTTCCGAGAACCAATTTATCTAACAGATAATTTCTTGACACTGGAAGACGACTGCCACAGCACAAAGTTTTTCCAGGTTCAACAAATATCGCTGTGAAAGTAGTTTTGAGAACCCACTAAAATGGTTTACTACAACAGAAAGATGATTATCTGTGTATGTATATTACATACACGACGAGGAGAATGTACAGGCAACGAGGAAATTGGCAGAACCAGGAAATTTTAATTCGAGTGGTAAAATAACAGAGGATACTAAGTACTTGATCTACCCCACCAACATGATTCTATACCAAGTGTTTCTCCCAAACCTAATCACCATTACAGCCACTTCCCATTCTGGTAGTGATCTTTCTTTCTGTCTATTTTTTATCCAAATATTTTTCAGATTTTTTTATATTATCAAAACTTATTAAAATTTTATGAATTAGCTTCTATTTTTTATCCAAATATTTTTTAGATTTTTTTATATTATCAAAACTTATTAAAATTTTATGAATTAGCTAAATCTTTCATAATGCATCAAAATATTAGCCTTTTTACGTTATTGTTAATAAATTTTTAATTTTTTTCTTAATTAAAATACTAAAATTTTGGAATGTTAACCTTTATGTGTCTCTTCCAAGTCAGTATTATATTGTCAAGTCAATATTACTAACAAAATTGTTAACTGAAAATTAACATTTGACTATATTTTAGTATTTCGATAGATTTGAATAATATAAAAAAATTTAAAAAAGATTTGAATAAAAATTAAAGATTTAAAAAAAAAACTTTCTGTTTTTGTTATTGCTGAATGTGCTGTATTTGGTTAAGCTTCCCTTGTAAATATTACAGTGTGATGTTAGTGCGAGTTAGGGTGAGTCAAGACACCCATTTCTTGATGAATAAAATTCTTAATTCAACAAAAAAAAAAAACCTAATCACCATCACAGACTTCTACAGGTGATCAACATCCTGTAAAGCAGCAATGCGAGATGTCGTTCTAACTACTCAATTACCACGTTGTAACATCTTAATAAGCATTCATTTGTACCATGTTCTAAGGCTACACTACACTTCTCTGCACTGATTTCCCCCCTGTATTAAGTCACCAACATAGATTAGAAACCCAGTTGCAGCTGCTCCTCCCCCGTCGGGAAAAAGGTGAACGAGGGTGGCGTAGAAGATAGTAAAACAGAAAGGAGATCACATGGTTGCAATTGCCGATACACATGGGGCCTTCCCCAAACCTGCATTCATTCCCATCTTCCATGGCTCCCCGGCCGGCTCCTTTATTAATCCGGAGAACTAAATGATCCCCACTTACCTCAATTCTTCCCAATCACCCTGATTCTGCCGCTTCCATGGCTGGCCTGCCTCTCAAATTCATGGCGGTGAGAGACGCCACCGGGATTCTCATCCTCGCTCTTCTGATCACAGCACTAACTTCATCAGTGGGCGTTTCTAGAGCTCAAATTTCGTGCTCAATGTGCTCTGAATGCGAGAACCCATGTCAACCCCAACCGTCGCCTCCGCCACCATCCCCTCCGCCGCCGCCTCCGTCTCTACCGCCACCGGCAATCCCATCCAACGACTGCCCCCCGCCTCCATCGTCTTCTTTTTCGGGTACCGTGCCCACATATGTCTACCCTTCTCCGCCGCCTCCGAACCTAGTCGCCGCCGGCGGTGGTGGTGGTGGGTATGGGAACGGTAATTACCCGGGTGCGGAGTGTCCACCTCCGCCTAATCCAATACTTCCCTACTTCCCGTTCTATTACCGGAACCCTCCGGCAGCCCCCAATTCTGCTTTTGGTCAGAGCACTGGTTTGATTACGCGTTTCTTTCCTCTTGTCGTTTCTCTATTCATTTGCTCCTTCCCGGTTTTGTAATTACTAATTACCCTGCTCCCTCTACTCTTCCTTGTAAGTTCAAAGAATAAAATACAGAGATTGTTACCATCGAGCTGGACTCGTTTCTTTTTCCCTTTCTCAGTTTATCGATATTATATTAAACTAGTTTATTAGTTTAAGTCAAATAATTTACAAAATTGTTCAGAAAAGATAAATTTGTAAGTTTCAACCATAATACAAATTTACATGAAATGAAAGGAATGATCATTACAATAGTCTTGTAAAATTTAGAGTACCAATAGCGATTCCTCTCCTATCCTCGATGGCTTCATCAATAAAATGAGATTGATAACTATCTCTACCAACGCATTCTATATGATCATAGTATGGCCTTTTGTATAAATCATTTCTGCCTTACCCATTTTCGCATCGCAACTCCAAGATCTAACTTGTTGAGGCTCTCCTTTAGGTAAACAACTTGTATCAACATCAGGCATGAAAACAAAAATTGTTTTTATTGAGATACTATCAGGATCTTGTGATGCTCTGAAAAAGGCTAAACCGTTTCTCAGGCATTGTCAACCCCCAATCAATTTGTCGTGGGTTATTGCTCTCATACCAACTAAATTAAAGAGGAAGCTCAAGTTAGCCTATTTTATAGTTTAACTTGACAATTTCTTAGAGGAGATACAATCACGATTCACAATTTTAGAACAACCACCTCAGATAATACAATCATATGAAAACAACACTAATGAAGCACCTAAATTACAATTCTCTACATGTTTCCTATGAGGGTGTGCATGTGCAGATTAAGAAAAATATAACGATTAAGGAGGGAGCTTACTTGGCACGCGGTTTTGATAAACAAAGATCCCGTCAATATATTCCAGGCGGATATTTCAAATCAGAAACATTTCAAATCATAAAAATGATGATACTGAAAAGAACCGTCATAACAAATGATGATACTGAAAAGAACCGTCATAACAAAAGCAACAAAAAGTATAGCTATTTATCTTTAATCAACTCAAAAGTCAACCTAGAAGATCAACCAAATGAACTGATGTTAAGAGATCACACATTACTGTCAAAGAAACTAAATAACTCATAAGTAAGCTCTCCAAGCAAGAACAATCAACCTTTCCATATTTACCCCTCCGAAAATTGCTTTGCGTAACAATATAGGTGAAGGAGGTTAGGCGGTTGTCGAGTCCGATGAGAAGTTTTGGATAGACGGCGATGGTTGGGCGTTTAGTAGGCCGGAAGCCGAGACACTGTTTATCTTTAATCAACTCAAAAGTCAATCTAGAAAATCAACCAAATGAACTGATGTTAAGAGAACACACATTACTGTCAAAGAAACTAATTACATAACCCACAAGTCAGCTCTCCAAGTAAGAACATTCAACCTTTCCATATTTACCCCTTTAAAAATTGCTTTGCGTAACAATATAGGTGGAGGATGTTAGGCGGTTGTCGAGTCCGGTGGGAAGGTTTGGAGAGACGACGATGGTTGAGCATTTAGTAGGTCGGGACACCATTTAAACCTGTTTACATTAGTTGCGCCTTTTCAATATGCATTCGGCAAACCAACATCACTCAACATTTCATATTTACCCCTCTCTTAATGACACATGTGCTCCATATTCACTCAGAACTTCTATGTGGAAAAATATTGTTGTTTTATGGTAGTTATACTATCAATGTCAATAATTCGGTATCACTTCCACACATTCAATACTGCAATTCGATGTGCATTATTTGCAACAATGGTATAAGGCTTGTGATTTTAAATTATTCTCCTTTTATAAGACAAATAGAATTCGAATTAATTATTAAACTCGAATTAACCTCTCAAATCAGCTAAAATTTTGCACGGAGTCTAAATTTTGTTTGAAGCAACAATGGATTAATACCGTAATTTAACTTGAATTTCACCTGACAACTTGTTGTCGAACTTTTCAAAACTTATAAAATGTAGAAATTTTCAAAATAATGAAAAGATTTTGGTCTTCGGTTGACTATTCAAGTTGTGGGGATTTTTATTTTCTCGACAGTTGGTGGTTGCAGTGCACCTTAATTCCATATAACGTGGAAACTGGAAAGACAGTGACTCGTGAGGTGATCTTTAAGCAACGATTTGATCTGTTTGATCTTTATGGTTTGCATCTATCTATAATTTCAAAATAATTAATTCATACGTATCACCAACCAATACCATAAAGTGCAAAGACAGTTAAAGAAACAAATGCTATAGTTACTCTGTTCAGTGACCAAAACAGAGTAAAACATAAAAAAGGATAGCTATTCACTCAACATGAAACTACAAACATAACGCTGAAAAAAAAAACCCAGACCCAGAATACAACAAACGCCCAAATATCGCTCTATGTTCTAAGAGGAGGCTGCTGCAGCTTTGAATTTGGCACTGAGGAGCTTGGAAAACTCGAGGAGCTTCTCAGCTTCAGGAAGGACATCCTTAACAGCCGGATCGGCAGAGAACTTGTCAGCCCATTTCACCAAACCAGGCGTCTTCTCCTCATCAAGAAGCTTCACTCCAGCCATCACTTGAATGGCTCTCGCCCATCCCAACATGCTCCCAAATGCAATGTCCACAAGCCCAATCTTGTCCCCGCCGAAGAAATCCTCCCCTTTGCTCGTCTCTCCATACGCTCCTTCCATCTGTACTACAACTTCCCTCAGCTCATCCACAGCTGCGTGCTTCTCCTCCTCGTTTGCTGCAGTTATCACCCCCTTCAAGTTCGGAAACCACTGCAAAAAAAATTTGATTAGAAAGATGAAGTTCTGACTAAAATAACAACGCGGCTGGGCCAATTTTGAAAAGGGTGGGTAAAAAGATTGTACCTTTTCGTCGACGTAGGCAGCCCAGAAGCGCGCGACGGCGCGGTCGTGGGCGTCGGCGGGGAGGATAGAAGGGCCGGAGGACCAGACCTCGTCAATGTACTCGACGATGATGTTGGATTCGCAGATGGGTTTGTCGTTGTGCAGAAGGATGGGGATTTTCTTGTGGACAGGGTTGGATTTGAGCAGGAGCTCGCTCTTGGAACCGAATTGCTCCTCGATGAACTCGTACTTGACGGATTTGATGTTGAGGGCGATCCTGGGGCGCATCACGAACGGACTCGCCCAGGCGCCGATGAGTCTGACATCGCCGTGGTTGCTGTTGGCCATTGCTTGTGAGAAGAAAATGAAGAAAGGCAGAGGACTTTGAGAAGACAGGAGGAGGGGGACTCTGTTTCTATATTGTTGAGGTTTGAATTGCGGGATGGAAAAAACAGGTCTTGAATTGGCGCGTATATATAGTGATTAGTGAGGGAGAGATGGGAGGACGGGTTGAGGCGTTGATTATTATTTTATGGTCAACGGGAGAAGTTGGATTCGAGTTTGCATACAGACAAGGGAAATGGGAATTGAAGTGGTGTGAGGAGAGAGTTTTGACTATTTTATTTGTGAGGAACAGGGAAAACTATTAGACGTCACTGCTTATGAAGATTGGATTGATTGGGGCACGAGAGTAGGAGCAAAAGGCAATCTCCTTTGCATTCTTGGCTCGGTTTCACACCAAAGAAGCGACGACCGATAGAAGAAAAGAAAGCAAAAAGGCCACTGATTTATAGGCGAAAAATGAAAAATGAATGCACCAGCCGGGAATCGAACCCGGGTCTGTACCGTGGCAGGGTACTATTCTACCACTAGACCACTGGTGCTTGTTGATGTTCGATAATTTGCATCTTGCAAATTATTGCAAAGGTTTGATAGTTAAATGCATCGTTTTAGAAAAGGTGACGTGTTAACCTTGTTTTATTTTTTTGAGAAAATAGATGCAAAACACCACTACTCTTACGCGTTTGGTGTTTTGTGATTTTAAAATGTGTATGTAAACATGTATTGTAGGGAATACATATTTTTTTTTGTCAAAATGAAATAGTATGCATGTATTTGAAACTTATTGTTTACAATCCTCAAAAAAGTTAATATTGCTATAGTTTTGAGATATCAAAGCTATTGTTTTTTAAGGGAACCAGTTCGGTGTTATGACTTTGATGCAGCAGTATCATCAGCAAGTTCAGGAATGAATTGGTTTACCAGCTGACAGAGTGGCTTCCCTGGAACCCCACCCCCCCCCCCCCCCCCCCCCCCGCCCGACCCCAATGAAAACATGATGCCTTTCATCTCCGGTTTGTTCATTTGTATATGGGATGGTGCGACGAGGACTGGTTCACATTCGGTGAGGGGAATGATCCTAAAAGACTAGAGTGGTTCCAATATCTTCGCTCGGGGACTCCTGATTGATTATATTGATGATCCATCATTAGTTGAATTATTTCCAATGGTGTCTAGAATGTAGTCTCTCGCAGGTTTGGTTCGAAGGGGATGTGAAGGTGGTCATTGATAAGGTCAACCAGCCCGATAAGCAGGATAATCTCTTTGGAGCTATTGTGGAGAAAGTTCGCTCTTTGCTAAAAAATCATAATGGTATCACTATACGATTTGTAGGTTGGAATAGCAACAGGGTAGCCCACTTAGTGGAAAAGCCCTTTCTTTGTACCCGACTACGTGTTATTATTTTGATTTCCATTCCTGGTTATATAACAGAGTGTAATTTTTAGAATTTATGTTTCGATCAATACAAGATTATCTTTTGTAAAAAAAAAAGATTTCAAAATTTATTTTCATTTTTATCCCTAGTATCTTTCACATATTCTCATAAAATAAAGAGTAAATATATGTCTTTAACTTAAAAAAAAAGCAACTTTATTAGTTCATTCTCTAAAGGGATAATACCACTAGGAAACCTGAACTATTAATAATATGTCATTTGTGTCCTAAAATATATAATATGACATTTGTGTCCTAAACTATTTTTCCGTTAGTATTGACTGACGTTGACCGTTAGTATTTAACAAATGGCACATTCTTAATAGTTCAGGTTAGGACATAAATGACACAAAACTATAATAGGTTGGGACACAAATATCATATTAGATACTTTAGGACACAAATTACACATTCTTAATAGTTTGGGTTTCGTAGTGGTATTAGCCCTTCTCTAAACTACAAACAAAAACACCAAACATTGTAATGTTAAAATACATTCATTTAAACAATGCTCCACCCCTACGATCACGCTTTGACGAGACCTCGACTTCTAGAGTGATATAGTGTGGTCCACCACTTTACTAACTTGTGCTAAATTCTCTCAAGCAAGGGTCATTTGCTCTAGCTTATTGTGGGATTCCACAATCCATGATACCTTGTTTTAATTTAACCATAATCGATTCGGTCACATTCAATATTATCAAAGAACAAGAATCAGACGTTCCAAGTAGCTAGAAAAACGTGATTATATATCTTCGTTAGGTGAGCTCTTCTCATTATGTATCTTCATTCTCCATCTTCCCCATTCAGCCTACTCGACAATTTGCTTTTTTTTCTTTCTCACCGATGGTTGAAGATAGAGGTGGTGTCTTCTCCAACTGTTGTGGCAGCCAATGTTGTTAAGATTTCGATTTTAATCTTAAAATCTAATGATTTTAAGATCTTATCTATGAGTTCCGATCTTGATTTTACTACTAAATCTTTCAACCTTAAAAATTCATAAAATCCCAATTTAAAACTGTAAAATGCAAAAAAATTATGATTTATACGACTTTGTACGATTTTAAGGATCATATCAATTGGAGCAATAACATACCAGTCGGATCGGGTTTCGCCCACGAACTGGGTCAAAGTTCAATTCCACCGATCCAACACATGGGCAACTAAACCCTAACCTGACAGGCGACTCTCGACTGATTTTTCACTCTCTTCCTCATCTATTCCTCTTCCGCAAGCCAACATCCAACTTCTTGCACTAATGATTTCCTCCATCACCCACCCAATTAGCATGTTGTTTGTCACCCCATCACCCTCGCAGTTAGCCCAAATCAGCATCCCCTCACAAGCTTTCGTCCCTCTCTCAATCACCCAAACAATAACGGGTTTGTGCCATAAAATCGAAAAACACATTCAATCTATCATCATCCACAATAGGCATCCCATAATGAAATAGAACATTATCCTGCCATTCCGGAAGTTTGTAAGTGCAACCTGTGATCGTATCACTATCTTGTACTGCTTCGTCTTTACGCCGTATCCTCGGAACTAGATTCTCACAAAATTGGTGATATGTCAACCTACATGGAAATGTCAACCGAAAGCTTCCACCACCAACAAAATGGATGCCCAAATTATCCTCTACTTTCTACTATTTCCACCGAGTGACTAGTTCAAATCGTCTAAAATCACTACATAATTTTTTTTTCCATTAATTAGTAATTACTAACTAAACAAAATTAGCATTTTAAGAATATAACTAAGAAAATAAATGTGTTTTTACCTATCAACCATCTTTGCAGCAACCATCAGAGCTCTTGAAGACCACAATAATATATCATAATGGAAACGCTCTGTACGATCCCTGCTGGGGAGATGGCCCCGACGTCGAATTCGGCTCCGCCGGGACGGCCGCCAGACAATCCCCAACCTGTGGCTGAGATGCAAATCGACGCTGATCAAGCGAGCGAGGTGCCTCGGTTAACATCGGAGATCCATACTTCCAGCTTTGGGACTCCTGCAGTCTTGTGGAGGAAAGAGAACGAGGTGGTCAGTGAAGGGGGGTCTGGAGATCCAATCAAGGATTACCGCCTGACCTTGCCAAAGGCTTCCTATGCCAATGCGGTGGCTGGCCACGGGTCACAGACGGGGGCAACGGCTTCACAATGGGTTCCAGTTGGGGAGCATGACATCATTCCAGGATCCTTCAATGGGGAACCTGAACTGAAGATTTCTGAAGGTTTCAAAGCGAAGCTCAGTGCCCCGTGGCAGAGATCCTTGGTGGTTAGGCTGCTCGGGAGGTCCATCGGATACACAACCCTCTGTAACAGACTGCGATCTCTTTGGAGGCCTTCTGGACACATGGAGGTGTTTGCTATGGACAGGGATTTTTTCCTGGTGAAGTTGGAGAACGACCATGACTACTTCAAAGCCCTCTCCGACGGGCCTTGGGTGATCTTCGACCATTATCTGGTTGTTCAACAATGGACACCGGCCTTCAGGGTCACAGACAAGCTTCCAAGTATGATGGTGGTGTGGGTTCAATTTCCGGGCTTTCCCGTTCACTTTTACCACAAGGATCTTCTGTTCTCGCTGGGTAATCTAATCGGGAGGGCAATCAAACTTGACTACCACACGCTGCATCAGCAACGTACGAGATTTGCGAGAGTTGCCGTCGAGGTTGACCTGTCACAACCACTGGTCCCAAGAATCCGACTTGATGGGAAATGGCAGAGGGTTGAATTCGAGAACCTTTCAATTGTCTGTTTCGAATGTGGGAAGGTTGGGCATACAAAGATTAGCTGCCATGTTCTGTGCCCGGAACAAGCTGGCGAGAGAGCGGCGGAGTTTTCACCGACGCCGACGACAGCCTCCGTTGAACTCCCGTCGGAGGAGGTTCCCGGCTTTGGCCCCTGGATGCTGGTCACGAGAAAATCACGCCGCAATCAACGGGAGATACCAAATCAGGGGCGCCCAGATCAGGCGGACGAGAATTGTGAAGGTGGAAATAGCAAACAAGAAAGGAAAGAGATATCTGGGAGGAAGGAGAATGGGAAGCCTACAAATCAGGCAGGGGGCAAATCTTCTCAACGGAAAAGTCCGCAGGCGATGTAAGGGGGAACTTCGAACAAGAAGGGGAAAGGGGAAATCAAAAAAGGAAAAGAAATTGTGGTGGTGGAAAAGGAGGTAGATAAAAGCTCGGGTATCCTGGGCCCGGTTCCAAGATCTGAAGGCCCAAATTCCAGGAAGATATCAGGCAGCCCAATAACTAATGAGGCGTCGTCTTCTGGGACTAAGGAGGATGGGCCAATTGCGTTTAACCCACTTGGGTTGGTAACCCATTCAAGCAAAGGTGGAAAGGGGACCAATGTGCTGATAGTGGAGGCCCAGCCCTATGACCCCCCACCGAACAGGAAAGCCGACCCAGCTGCCCCCTCTGCTGTCTCGCGAACGAAGCAGAAGAAAGAAAAGAAGAAACGGGGTCAGGGGAGGAGGGAATCGACTCCAAAGAGGACCCCAATCTGACACACTCCGATGAAACCTCTCAAGCTTTGGTCTCCTGTCAAGGATCGGAGGAACAAAAGCCAGGATAGACGGGTCTCTTTAACTCTTCAACATATCAAAGAATGGACGGAGACGAGCTTGGATAACAGAGAAGGCGCGGCTCTTCGGGAAT